CCCCCAGACAACTGTTCAAAATTTGCTAACCTTTTCTGTGATAACAAGTAGCTGTCAGTAGTATGCTACCTAGCAGAAATTTTCAAAAAAATACACACTTAAGGGTTCCCTTCAAGGTGAAGTTGACATTTTAACAGTGAGCTTTTCAACAGAAACTCACTCTATAGCGGTTGTTTTGAAAACAGGTCTTTGGAAATGCTTCCACTATTAGGTGATTTTGTTGCTGAAAATTAGGCATCACCTATAAAAACCTCTCAAATCTGTATGCTTAAAAGACTTGGAAACAGAATTCCCTGTATTAAAAAAATCCAAAAGAAGAGTTTCAGGGGGTTTTGAATGCTTTTGTTAAAAATAGAAGAATCCAACACTTTGACACAATGTAAGACTGAAATTTAATAGATGAATTCCAAGAAAGACTTTTGCATAATATATTGTATGGGAGTAGAAAATTAGTACCATGATTTAGTAAGCACAACCAACAATTCACTACTTCCATTTGGATCTATGTATCCTTGTGAGGTGTCTTTTTCAGCTATGACAGCCATTAAAACCAAGTATTGAAATAAATTGAACTTAGAACCAGTCCTTCAAAGTGTTAAACCAAGATTTAAAAAAAAAAAAAAAAAAAAAAAAAAAAATCAGTCACATAGATTTAGTTAAATACCCTTTCTATACAGGTTTCAGTGTTCTGTATGTTCAGTTATGCTTCTCTTCTCCTCAGCTGATTTTAAGCCTGGTTAGTATCACAGTGCAGCTGAACAGGCAATCCAGCTATCATCAGGCTGATCTGGACCTTACAACTGCAAATGCAGCCACTGATTTTTTTTTTTAAATTAAAAGCAAACAAATATTTTTCAGGGTCGGCACATACTACAAAATCTTGGATTCTCGCTTGGCGTCTGTACATCCTCAGCTGTTGCATGCAACATTTCCAAAGAGTACTTTAAACATCACAACAGAGTGATCTCATTTCCCACAGCCTTTGCTTTCCTAAACTGAAGTAGGACATTTATCTCTTCCTCCCTGTAATAGTGTCTTCAGTGATATCCTGACCCAGGAGACACACCACTGATTCCTTCTGCTTGACATCCTGCTGTGCAGTAGTGGCTCCTACTTGATCCTTTCCCCAGATAGTTCAGATACCTCTCTGCCAACAGGAGTTTTCCTTATGCTGCAACAAAAATTAATCTAAGAAAATCTTTTAGTCAAAAATGGGAAAACTACAAGGAAAAATTATAGAACTCGCAGGCTACGCATAAGTGTAACATTCAAGTTCGTCTTCCCAATCTCATTTATTCATATATTCATTTGTAGCCCCATTGCTAAATTTTGACTCTGTCCTGGTACTGGTACTGCAACATTTTTATTGTGTTTAAGCATTCTGTGCTTCAGTGCTACACCACCACCACGTTCCTGCCACAGTCCCTCCCATTAGATTACCACAGGTCTTTTCTTCCACAGGGATTATGATTTCTTCCAGACATTCATAATCTGCCTTTGCTGGTTCCATTCTCTCTGCCAAGTGCCACCTTGATTTTTCCTGCTACACAGCTTTGGCACTTTTAAACTGAACAAAGTTAAAAGGTACTTTTTACCTTTGCCTTTAAGGCGAATTAATGTTTCCACCCGCACATATTCAAGCCTGATTTTTTATTACCATTAAGTTTTTGAAACTGTTTTATGCTCACATATTTATGTCACCTATATCTGAACTTCAAATATCACATTCCAGAAAAATCACAACTTTCCCACTAGTACATACCACCACTGTAAAAAAAAAAAAAAACCACAGCATAAGCTACACTTCAGGTAGCTGAAACAAAGGGTTCTGTACCACATATTGCAGATATCAACTCCCAAGAGAGGTAAGAGACATCTTTATACAAAAATAAACAAGAACATGTAATAAGAAAAGCATTACACAGCTCTGAAGGCCTTTCTAAGCTGAAGACAATCCTATTGTTCAAGAGGTTCTCACACCATCACGCCAAACACTTCAGCAAAACACTAAACACTTCGATATACTACAGTAACAAATCTCTCTACCACAGCTGAAAAACGAAAATTGTTATTCAACTTTAAAAAATAAACAGCCCACGTAGTACCATTGATTCTTTATGACCTCAATTGTTATTTGCTGTAATTTAGAAGACTGGGAGCCTCCTGCTTATTCCTGGGTTACATGTCACTTTTTCATGGAAATAAGAAATCTCAACCTTACAAAAGCTGACAGATAGAAAGACATAAGGTTCATTTACAATTCACTTCAGTTCACACTTTCTTCCTGCTGCCCAAACACAGAAAGATGAGCTACCAACTGAGAATGCAAGGAAGGCAGTTTCAAGTGCCAGCCTGACCCATCTTGGCAGAAATTCAACTGGTTGCTGCCAAGTGAAGGGACTACAAGTAAGAAGTAAGCACTGTCGTACTGTAAAGATATTTTAAGACAAGACTTATTGTTGTATGATCAACCTCACCTTGTGGAGTCAGTCAGTGTGTTTTCCAGCTTTATGAAGGTGCTTGGGTAAAAAGGCGCTGGAGCTTTGAGAATTGAGGGGGGTGGATCTCTGGGGATGGAATCCCAGCTTGCAACTGGAAGTGGAAAATATCAAAATGTTATCACAATTGCTTCAAGTACACAGGCTAATTCAAACTCAATTCCAAGATAAGCATGTGTGCACACAACACACCCAGGGAAATGGTTCTCTGGCACCACTGTGAAATGGGTTTTCAGCAACATTATCAGGGACAAAAACCTAGAAAATTCAGTGTTCACAGTTACAAGTCTGGCATCAACACTAACCACAGGCTGTTTGCCACCTTCTCATCCCCAAGCATATCAGTCTCACTCAAAAGGCATGCATTTACTGCACCCAGAGATAGAAGGCCACAATTCCCTAACATTGATCAGACCCAGGATTTCAGCACCCTGTGGATCAGCCTAACACATATGCATCTAAGTAGCCTGGGCTACCTTCAAGGCAACCAGACATTCTTTTTGAAGAGGAACAGATTGTTTAATCACAACAATAAAAATAAGGCATAAAAGAGCTTAAGACACAACACTATGTCCATAATCATGGAAGTCTCATCCACAGAGTTACAAAAGCCTAAATTATTCTGCTTAACGTAGCCTCTGGAACTTCAGAACCAGGCTACTCTGCAAAAAAAAAAAACCAAACCCAAACCTCTGCTTTATTATTTGCATCTAGCCTGCCCCCAAAAGTTCAGTTCAATTTAATTTATACTCTTATAACCATGTGTGGTCAAAAGCAGAACCCCAGAAGTGAAAACCTGCATTCCCCTTCAGGTACCAACAGACAGGACCACCTGAACTACAATTTCCAGCTATATACCAGTAACATTTGTCCCAACTGACACACTAACATCCAAAAGTAAACAAATGAACCTAATATGCAAAATACTGCCTATTAAGACAGCCTCCCACCACTTGCAACAACACCCAACCATTTTATTTGCTGTTCTCCATTTGCATCAGCATTCTATTGTCTGCAGAAACACGCATAAGCAGACTTGCCAAACCTTTTAAAGATTCAAGAGCAGGGGAAAAAAAGGATTTTTGAAAGCTGCATACAGTGGTCTGTAAACACATTCACACTTCTTTCCTAATTATGGCCTGGTGCAAAGGCAGCATCTGGGTAAGAACTTCTTAGCAAGAAACTGCATATTAAAAAAAAAAAAAAAAATCAGGATGCCTACACATTTGGCAGTTTATTGAAGTCTCTGGGATTCAGGTGGGACAGAACCAAGAATTACTTCAAATGGTGTTTTCAGTACTTTAGTGCTAAAATCATGGATTGGTATGATGCTTCAGCAAATGTTATTGCTCACAGTTCATGAGCATACAACACTGATATCCCAACAGCTATTTAACACTACAATGCCACAAGAAGGGACGGAGGCGAACATCTGTACTACTGTCTAGCTGTAGTGACTAATTAAGTACTGGCATTTTTGGAAGCTGCCCAGGCCTTACATTTGCACAGATTTAATATATAGGTATGCATATCAAGTGACACAATCCAAATATTAATGCTTCAGAACATCCTTGCTGTGCAGAATCAAATCTTTGTAGAAACAATACCAAATAAGAGAAGGTTTTCATAGCAAAAACTTTAAGTTATCATAAAGATTATGCAGTTCACAGTACACCACAGCCAGATAGCTCTTTCAAGCCCCCTCATCCCTCTCCAAAATAAAAGACTTGAATCTACTGTAGTGGTGTTTTGTACTAATCAGCTATAACTATAGATGCATTTGCTAATGTAAGTAGAATTCAGTGATTAGATTGGCTAGCAAATGATGAAAGAAGTCTAAGTAAAACCATGCAACAAATCAAGCTCAGAGTAAAATTACTTAATCCTTTGCAGTTCAAATGCAAGTTCATCCTTCTCAACATCATCTACTCCTAACCAGTCTATCCATCACATGTACACCAAGAAACCTCTTGTCCTCTCAGGCACTACTATAGTGCAATGGCAACATTTCAGATCAACTTAAATTAGGCTGTACTACATTCCATTACATGATATCATGCAACAGATGTTACTCCAAGAACACACAGGACAATTATTCAGGGTAAATGCTGTAATTCGAGTGGTAAAATGAATGGGTAGTCTGTATGAAATTATTATAGTCTTAATCAAATTTTATACTGAGATTCAGAATTTAAATATTGCCCAAGTTTATCACAGTTAACTCAGAGACTTAGATTGGCAACCAGAAACAAGAAGTATTCTTATCTCACTTAAGCTCAATAATTTTGAAACCAACAGATAAGCTAGATGAAAATTCCACTTAACCCTTTACTCCTGCAGTGACCAGTGAGTTAAATGAGGCATTATGAAACTCACATGAAATGCGCTTCCCAGAGACAAGATTTTTTTCCCCTAGCTGTGTTGTAACCTTCAATCTCAAGGCACTGCCTTGAAAATTTCATGTTTTGAAAACTAAAGCAGAAAAGGTAGTTAAGCCAACTTAATTTACAGTTAGCTTAGCTAACACCTGTACTGTTGGAAGAACAGCTGATCGTTATCTCAGATAGATATGAAAGCTTCTCCTATACTACAATTTGTAAGTTTTTTTATAACTAACACTGGCAGCTTGCACTCATACTTGCGACACACTGAGTGTGAGTGTACTGACATATGAGTAAGTGATGTTTTACATAAGCAGGAAGAATCTTAGAAACACGTTACTTGTTTGCTTCTTAATCATATGGATATTTTTCCATAGCTATGGGGCTCTCTCGACGATGCAGAATTCCCAATGCCTTTAACATACTTTCAAACTCAGAACTGGTTTTCTGGCTTGAAACTTCACATGGCTCAAACTTGGCTCTAAAATACAGGTCTGCAAAATAAACTTTTAAAAGGTTTGGAGGGAAGCAGGCAATTGTTTAATCTGACAGTTTTTTCAAGCAACAAACATTCCCACGATCTTCCTAACTAGACTCTGCAGCAGCATTTTAACACACAAAAAGTAGAGCCTAAATAAATTGAAGCAGCTGGTCAGCAGAACAAAAGCGCTACAGAAGGTGAGCACAAAGACAGCAGAGGCCCCAGTTCCCAGACAGGTGTTCCTATGCAGTGGCACTGTGGGAGCCCTCTAGTCACACAAAGGCGAGGCTGTGCCCTGCACCCCACAGCCACCTGCTAGGGTGGCATAGAAGAGAGGTGCCGGGACACACAGGGGGACCCTAGCCGACAGCATGCACAAGCCCTCTGCAAGCACACACCACCACCTCCTACCAAGGGAGGTTTTGTGCTTTGGCCCAAAGCCCTGCTGCACGGCGGCAGGTAGCCCAAAGCCGCTGGCTGCTCGCACGCCCCCAGGCCAGCCCGGGGAACGGGGAGGCCGCGGAGCAGCGGGGGTCACCCGCCCACCCA